TGAGGGGGATGCAATCCTCATTAGTCTTATGCACCAGAGCAACTTTTACGCCGGCAAGCTCAATTTGCGCCCCACCAGGGTGTACGCCCCACTATTGGGTTGAATACAAAGAAAAGCAAACCCTAATTTCCAAGACATACCCGAATCACGCCAAATCACGCGTCTCTCCCACAACAGAAGGTGATCCCGTTGCTTTCATCTTTGTCTTTCGCACGTAGTGTGACCAATAACAGCTAAAACTTGAGATCAATTGAGCATAAGTTTTTTTTTTTACTCAAACACGGTTACTTATTTTTATATGTTTTTACTTTTTATGGTGGATTTATGTTGATATCTTGAATATTTTAATCCTTGAAAACTTGTTTTGAAATTGAATGAGTACAAGTTCTTTTTATGTCTCTTAATAATTTGTTTTATTAAGCACAACTAATTCTCGCACCGTAACCTCTAAAATGCCCCGCCCAATGCTTATGCCTTTTAAAATATTGTTGACGACCAGTATAGCTTAGAAAAGAACATAAAAAAAGCACGTGATCATTTGCATCAAGGGGCAGAAAGTGATTGAACCCACTATAAAGGTTGGGGAAGTACCCCAACGAGCTAATAAAGATAACATGTGAGTTTGATGAGTCAAATACAAGATGAAAATATCACAACATTGAGCTTTTTCATCCTAAAGATAGTCTAAATGCGTATAATCTTGGTTGGGCATCACTTGAGGTCACTTCAAGAGAAGATTGACCTTACTTTTCAATCTAATCTTCATCTAGTGGTGATGAGGTCTATGGTCTTGCACTAGCAACATTTGCTCAACTTTATAGGCTATTACAATGATCAATTTTAAATAATAAGAGAATAACATGGGTGAGATTTATTTCAGCAACAAAGCATTGGTAACTTGAATTCAACAAGGGTGAAGGCCGATAAGGTGTCGACAATTAAAATTAAAAAAAAACGAGAATTAAAATGGAGGCATAAAAATGTTGAGTTTAAATTTGAGGAGATCTCTAAACTAAGGGGCCAAGAGAAAAAGATGGGTGAAGAGCTCGAAGTCGCTTGTCTAGAACAAGCCAACCTGAAGACCTTTACAAAGTTTTTAATTCGTCCACAATGCCCAAGTATATTTCAAGCCAAACTCGACGACCTTTAATGGATAGCCAATTTTGTTTAGATAAATTGATTGAAAATGAGTTCGTCCTCCTGCTTATGTGAACATAAAGGCTTCTACACCACAACTAAGTCAACTATGTGGGACAAAAGGAAGCTATGCTTCATTTGTTTGTTTATTATTTTATTTTCTTTTTGTTTGTTTCTATAAAGAGCGAATGTTATGGAATAAAAAAAACACTTCTTTTTTATTATCTCTTCTGTTTTTTCCCCCCTTTTTGTGATGCTATTGAGCTGAGTTCATAAATTGAGCATATATAAAATTAATGCCCTTCAAGCCAAATGAGAGATCTAAGATGCTTGAGTAGACTCTTAGCCCGTGAAAAAATCATAGACACTTTGGCTATTTTTCGGGCTGGCTTTGTAAATAAACTAGACAAATCTTTGAGCTTAGTGTTATTATCATTAGTGCGAGAGCCAACTCTTCGAGCTTCTTAAGCTAGTATGTTCTTTGCATTGATCAAACTTTCTGTTTTTTATGAGTTGGCATTGAGCTAAATATGATCTTTTCATCAGCATGGCGGCTCTTTCAACCATTAACTCTTGCTTTAATTTTATTTTTTTAGGCATGTCATCATTTTTAATGAGTCTCACCTTTTGCGGTAATGATTATTTAGACTTTAGACTCACTCTAAAATAAGCTCTTGTGCTACTCATAGCAAATCTTATCGCGCATGGAAGATTCAAACTATATGCCTTGGACCTGCCCAAAGGGGATATGTAAGGGGGAAGGATTTGAATGCTTGATATTTGAGAAGTGTGTTCCAAGCAACTTCTTCAAGATGATGCATAATACTACGTGAAAACAAATACAAGTCATAAGTCATCCATGAGACTTTGTCATTAATATCTTTTATCTTCTATTTTAATTTTTTTATGAGAGACAAATAAGGACTTTGTTTCTTCAATTCGTTAGATTCACTTTTTTACATGAATTGCAACTCAAGGAGAAAAAAAGGCAACCTCATTCAACTCAATTAATCCTTCTTGGAGGTTATGGTTACCCATTGAGGAGTAGCTAGGTTACAATTAAGAAATGAGTTTTTGCTAATATCAACCAAAAGTTCTAACTTTCGAATTGATCGACTTTTAATTGTTAGGTGAATATTTGGAACCAAGTCATTGTGCGGTTCTTATTGACTTGTTACTCAATTCAAACTCATACTATAAGACAAGTTCTCCAAATGTTAATTAATCAACATGGTGACTTTATTGAAATTATTTATTTTTATTTTAGGGTTTAATTCAATAGCAAATAAAGCATTAGGATTTATTGAATAGCTATTATTCCTATAATATAACTCAAGGCTAGAAAGAAGGTGACCTCGTCGGCTTGAAAAATTCCTTTCCTAGGGGTCGAATATCTCCTTTAGGGGTAATCATCATAGTTATTTAACTTAGACCAAGATTTTATAGTTTTCAATCCCTAAATTGATAAGGTTCACTTTTGCTAGTAGAATTCTAAACTTAGGAATATAATTTTTCTAACACTGGCCAAGAGTTTCAACCTTGAAGTTTGGCCAACCTAGGTCTAAGGCATTTTAGCAATAATCCTTATATACTTTTAATTTATCTTTTTCATGTTGAAATCATTCCTTTGTGGCAAATTCCATCTATATTTTTGGTGGGACAAGTTTTTGAATTTTCTTGAGAACACATCTTAAATATGAGCTCATTGTAATGAGCAAATCATGTGAAAAAATTTATTTGTGAGTGCGCCTTTTTCCTTTAGGAAATAAAAAACATTATTCAATGAATACAAAGAATGAAAATAAATTCTAAGAAAAAAAATGGCATGAGATTTTCCCTGCTCTTTGACAATTCTAAGAAAAAAACATTATTATAGGGTAATCATTTCCTGCACAAGTCAGTAACCAATATGCTCCTAAGCTTTCCAACTCTTTGACAATATATGACCTATCCCAGTCATCCACAGTTACCGAGTGTTGTTTGGCGAGCTATTGAGTTAACTTTCGTAGGTACAAAATTTATTTTCTTAGGCATATGAGTTATAAAATTTAGCCATCTTCTTTTAGCTTCCTTTTGCTTCACTGCCGATAGAATCCTGAGTTCATCTAATAAGTCCAGCACCATATTCAGCCTTTTCTTATTTGATTCTCTACATTCATCAAATTCATGTTCCAACTACCTATAAGCACTTGTGACTCTTCGGCTACGTAAAGTAGGCTCCATAGAGCGGAGTGTCTCGACTCTATGTGATAATATGAAAGGTGTTTGTCCAAGTCCAATAATAGTCATCATTAATCAGCCAGACTATAAGGTGTATGCTCGTGCACGTGCTGTTCAAACAAAAAAGAGGTAAATAAAATATTATTCCCAAATGAATCAAACTTAAAACTTTATTAAGCTAATTACTAAAATGTATCAAAATTTTATCCAAAAATAAAACCTTTTTGAAAGAAGTACTTTCATCTAAAATCAATATTACACAATTATAACTTTTTGTTTGTTTTCAAATGATGACAAAGCCTTTGAATTTATGATTTACCAATAGTAAATCTATGTAGTTTTTGTGCATGAAATTTATCTAAGGTATGTTGTTAATCAAGAGTCTAATTATCTTCTAATCTCTATCGATAACTAGAAAACCTAGTCACTTTTAAAAATTATGTATAATCCTATACTAAGTAATTTTAAGTTATTGCACGCAAGATATCTCTTATATTATTGCAATTTCACAAATACTACATGCTTATATCTTGAAAACATTTGCTTCACTCTAATTATTCCTTTAGGACTCTTCTGATATCTCTGGATCGCACTAATTTTTTAAAAGTGGCATTAAAAAAAGAACAATTGTCAAATAAAGCTGTGGCAGTGCTCTGAAAGGTAGAAAATGAGAAAATTGCTTCAAACATACCTTTAATAGTGGTTTGAAAGGTTATTAAACCAAATAAATGTACATTTAAAGAGTAATAGAAGTTAAATGCTATTGAAGGTCATTAGTAAGGTAATTTTTTTTTATGAATTATATAATAAGCTAGCTATTAATTAAGCAAAGACAAAAGAATATATTGAAAAATATTAAAGAAAAACATCTAAAATGGCCACCAACTATAAGTGGGGAGCTATTTCAGTTATAAATATAAACAAAAGTCCAAGTTAATTATTAGACTTATAAAATAAAAGCCAAAATAATCATGTCATTAAAAGTAACTAATGTTGACATTAAAATTACAGAATAACGTTAAAAATGAGGGTGTTTTAGGGAATTGTAACTTAAAATTTTTATAAAATACAATGAATATTATTTTAAATTTGCAAGATTTTGTCAAAATAATAATAATAACTGCTAAATAATTTATAAACATTTCTATAGTCATCATGGGTTACCCTAGCCATCAAAACTATGAGAGTTCCTAGACTGCTCAATTAGAGCTTGCTGAAGGTTTACAAAGTTTAATCCTTAAAAAGGACTCATTTCCATGTTCATGAGGATTAAAAAATGGATTCCACACCTATTTATAAGGACTAAATAATAACCATCAATTTTTTAAAAAAAGAAAAATTAAATGGGGTCTACTGAAATACATCCTTGTTGTGATGAACGGCGGAGATCGAACACCATATGGAATAATTTTTCTAGTGGGTCATTCCTATGCTTCTAACATGAGCAATATAATGAAATCAATCAGCCAGTGGATGCAGGAGGATTCCTTAAAACACAAAATCTGTCTTCTATGATTTTCGTTTGACTTCTCCTTAGAACTTAATTCCAACACAACAGGCATAAAATTAGAATTTTTCAATTCAAGCAAAATACTACTACTGTAGTTAGGCTTCCGCTATGTTTTGAGGTGGCCAAAACCTACGAATGAGCTACATCAGTCGCCTTCCTTCTTCCATCCATAAAACCCAATAAAGCATCCTCAGCTCCTGAATCGAACACCAAAAATCAAGTCAGATTATAAAAAATTCAAATCTGATTAAGATATTAACAGCGCAGCAACATACCAGAGATTGGGAATTTGTTGGCCAAGAACTCCAACGAAGGGCCTTCCTCTCCGTTTGAACTGCCCCCAGATCCTCCGGCAGCGGACGCAACAAAGCGACATCCAACGGGGAATCTCTGTAGAAGTGAAACGCGAGCGGAACGGAAAGAGGGTGTACTTTTCAGGGATGGCCAAACAAAAAGGTTTAAGATCAGAGGTTGGGCTTCTGTGAAGAACTTGGGGACGAGGGAAGAAGATCGCAAGACTACCATTCCCATAAGAACCAATGATTTCGCATCATGGAAAACTAATGGTCAGCTCACGGGTGTAAACGAGCCCAGCTTGAGCCAGCCTATCGTTTGAAATTTTTATTGCTCCAACAAGGGCTGTCTAAGCTGCTCGTTATTCGTGAACGATTTGTTTTCGACTCCTTAACAAGTTCGTGTTCAGCTCATTCACTAATTTTATGAGCCTAACACGAATAAAGATTTGTCGTTCTTGTTCGATACTCTTTGGCTCAAAATGCTACTCATAGTTTATATATATATATAAAGAATTGTCTGAGGTTCTTATATGAGCCCCGGTCATTCCCGATGCGCCTAACAATTCGAATATCACACCCTTCACCGGGGGTATCGAACCCCAGCCCAGAAGAGACTGATAACTGACAAGCATATACCCGACCAACTTATCTGAAAACCCGGTGCATATATATATATCAGC